GGCGCTGGGGCCCGGGGGGGCGCGGCCTGGTGGGGGGGGGGACGGGACGGGACACGACGTTCCCCTCGCCGCCCCCAACGGCTCCGCGCTGCCGTTAGTCACCCGCGCCCTCCCTTACCCCGCCAACGGCCTCCCACAGCTGGCTCCCGCGCCGGTCGGCCCCTGCTTGGGGCATCACCCCCTCAAGCCTCTCCCCTGGGAGCCGCTCTGGCAGGGCAGGTGCTGCCCTGGCTGCAGGGCAACAGGTGGGGAAAGTTTGGGGAGGTTATGAGGAGCAGCGGGGGAAACTGCTACCCTCCCCTGAAGGGAAACGGGGAGCGCAGCGATGTGGCGGGAGCCTGGTTGGCCGAAGCGCCCTGGGCCGGCCCTCCGCGCTCCCTGCGCCTCCCACACCTGAGCTTTAGGACAGGAGGTTGCGTGCTGTTGTGCTGCACTGGTGATCAGGGAACAGGCCTCTTCTCACCCAGGGGCTGAGAAGAAACTGGGGGAGAGGCTAAAGAACAGCTCTGACTGAAGATGTTGGTTATCCAACTCTTATCGCTCTCCGAGAGGCTGGTAGAGCAGAGATGTTGAGATTTATTTCTGTAGGTTCCTAAAGGACTCCCGCCTTTTGATGGGAAGAGGCCACCTAAACTTTAAATAGTATGCCCTTTATCTCCTTCCACTTTCGTTTCAAAGTCCTTTCTCTTTGCATGACTTGTTTGCTTAGGAGTAAATGCTGTTTCAACTTTCGGAGTCTATTGAGTCATAGTCCTAGTGTGGCTGCAGTATTGTTTACAGATGACGTAGCATGCTGTCACTCTCACAGACTTCCTCTTCAAGCACAAAATTATTTTGGTGAGATGCTGGGGAGCAGCTAGAGTAGTCATAGATGACTGGTAGTTGATCTCTGCTGTCAAGACTTCGCCACTGCTGTTGTAGTGCAGCGACTTATAAAAAATACCTATACTTACCATCTTTCAGTTTCTGCAGAGTTAACTGTTTTCAGAAGGGGAAGCACCTGAACATGTGCTAAATTAAGGTGTAACTTCAAAAGAAAAAGAGGAGGAAGGCATATTCAGAAATTGAGTCTCTTATGAGTTTGGTAAATTTTAAATTATTAAATATGTGCTATAACAGTTTCCTGCTGTGTTCTTTTAGCTTATACTAGGCCCCTTCTTTGTTGTGTTTTTTTTTCCTGACTCCTTTACTGTTATATCTCATTCGTTGCCATCACTCATTCACCGGAACTGCCATTAAAAGCTTTCAGCCCTCATCTGAAGGGATTGCTGCTATCTTTCAGTAGCAAGTTGTTTTGTTTTGCTCTGAGCAGACATTAATCACACAATGTTAAAAGTAGTGGTTGTACCTAGTCAGTGCTGACCAAAACACAAGGGCTTCTTGAACTGGTAACGCTTTACATGTGAACCAGTTAACAATAATAAATGGTGATACATATGTAGACAAGACTAATGTTGACAACTCTGTTTTGAATTAGGAAGCTTGGAGGTAACCTCCTTCAGAACCTGAGTAGATAATTTTGTATAACAAACAGTCTTGGTAGTGTAAGTTATCGCTAAATATGATGCAACAAATTTATTAAAAATGTGTTTGTAAATATGTAAGTAAAAATGTCTGAAAGTTGTAGAAGTATTTGTAGTATTTATTAACTGTAGCAGGTAAATAAGCATGTGAGGCTGATGGGAGTTCTAGTATTTCTGAAAGTTGGGGGCGTACCAGTTGTTCCTGTTTGGCATTGAATGTAAGATTACTTTTATACCTATGATGCTCATTGCTGAGCGGTCAATGTCCAGTGAAGGATGCAGTCCCATAGTAATGAGAGTAATGTTTACTCCACGTCATTCCCTGCCATAGCAGTTATTATGGTGTGGTAGTGTTTGATTTCTGAAGAATTTGAATTAGCATTCTACTCTGTAAGTGGAAAGTATGACATCAGTGTCATGCGAGTGACCATCTGTCTGTAACACAAATCCATTTCATAATTTGGCACTATTTGGCACTCTTTGCTTTTTTTCCTCTTGCAGTGAAGCAAAAATGTAGAAAGCAAATGTATGGGCAGAGCAGTGCAGGTGCTAGTATCATACCGATCTTCCATACCATGAGAATGATGTATTGTGCCTGGCTGTTCACTTCTATGAACATTAAACCTAATAACAATTCAGGTAATCTTAGTGGAAAAGAAATAATGTATATGTAATGCTACAACATAATATTACATAAATGTGAAATTAGGTAAAAATCAGCAAGGAAATGTGTATATTCCTATTGGGAGGAAGAAACTTTCTATTTACAATTACTTGGTTTGTAGCTGTGACCAAATGACTTGTATTTTGTACTAGCTGTGAAATGGGAATAATAGTGTGCTGTCCTAGGAGTGAATGAAAACTTGCACTGAACTTGAAAGTGATTTTAAAATGTCTTAAAGATGTCTCATTTATGGAAAGAAGACAGTTTGACTATCATTTTCCCTAATATGAATAAATGCTTAGCAATGCAACCTTAAGTGTGATTTTGTGAAGAAAACAAAATGTATCACCACCAGCATATCACTCTCTTAATTTCTAGTCCATCGGTATTGCAGGTTTCTTACTTAATAATTACACAAATCATTTTTCAGTTGGGCCTTGAAGGGAGATCTTGCAAAACAGCTAATCAGATGCCTGGCTTTAACTTTGTTTTGTTATAATCAGAAGTTTTCATGAGAATTACAGTAAATTTTTTGTGCAGTTGAAGCTCATGAAAGTCAAAGAAATTCTTTGAGCCCTTAAAAAAAAAAAAAAAAAAAAACAAAACCTAAATTATAGAAGCCAAGAAATTTAAGCCTCACTTCCCTGATCTTGATTAAGTATATATGATGTAAATGATACAATTGTTGATACTTTGATGACTCTGTCAATGCTCCCATTTCTTCGTCTGATTCACTGATCCATTGGATATTTAAATGTGAAGCTATAGTTCTTCACAGAGAAGTGCCAGCATTTTCAAGAAAATGTATTGTAGAGTTAAGTGGTTTTGAGTAGGCTAAAAAAAAAAACGCAAATGTACTTACTCTGAGTGAGAACACATCACAAAGTTAGAAGTTCCAAAAATAGGCTTCCATTTTCCTTTGATGTTTCATCAACACCTCTGTTACTGAAGTGTTGCATGACAGTTTCCTTGTATTTGTGAGACTTCCCTCTGTTAATATTTTAAAAGTTAACTTTTACAGTTGTGGGTGGTTTTGGTTTTTTTTTTTTTCTTTTTTAGACACAAAAATAAAACTTGAAAGAGCGGGAATAGTGTCTTGAAAGCGTATCTTTCTGGTGACGAGTGTGGCTTAGTGTGTATCTGTTCCTAGAAAGTATGCTCTGCTTTTTTTTTTTTTGAGTAAGGTGCATATGACTTATCACAATACTATTCTACCATATTAATTTGATTTCATATTTTCGTGGCTCTTTATCTTTTTGTGATATGTTTTTGCCAACCCTATTTTTAGTGTCCTGTATTTGGAAAACTGAAAATGTTTGGTATGATGTGTTGCTGTTTCTGTCTATAAAGGTCTGTTTGGTACTTCATTATTCACAGCAGCCTAGTGAAAGTGTTGGGATTTGTGTTAGTTATTTCAATTATTTATTAACTAGATGATTACTTTTCCAAGTGTGAATTGAAACTTCTGTATGCAATTTACAGCTTTGCATATATTGTCTCTTGTAATCAAGACTGGCCATATTTTATTTCTATTTTCTGTATGTAAGAGCTTCAGACTACTCATTCTGGATCTTTTCTTGGCGATATATTGTTTTAAAAGACTATTAAATAATTTATTTTCTGGTTTTATTACAGTGGATATCAGACAGCAACTATAATAAAGCAAAAGGGTCTAAAGAATTTATGTATGAAACTTATTTGAATACATATGATTACACGCATGCATTAATGTAACTAAAATATTTAATACTTAGTCTAGTAAAGCAGTGGATCAAGGAAAATTAATATTCTTTCAATATTAAAAAGCCAAACAGATTATAAGAAACAAAGATTAACTGTAGCTTTGTTTTATTACAAAAAAGTAATACAAAGTTATCTTCATGAAGATAGAAAGGTGTGAGGGTGAACTTGCAAAATTCAGAATCTGAAAGGATAAAAGCGTAAATAGAGCAGCCACTTTTTTCTCCTTGCCTTCCCTGGTCTTATCATATCTTCATAGATACTTTGCTACGAGTTTGCATGAAAAATATTTTGAACTCTTAATTGGCTTTCTGCATTTCTGGACAGGCTTTAATAGAACTGTACCTTTTAATGGTGATACGTGTTTTGGTTCAGGAATACAATTACGAATTCAACTCAAACATTTTCTGTTCGTACGAATCTGTTTACCTTATAAATTTAGCTTGAGCATAGAATTCTATCTTATATTAGACTGAAAATGGACCAGTTATCCTGCTTTGATGTTTCTTGAGTGGTATACTGAGAATTATAGAGAGAGTTTGATGTTAATTTCTGCCTTTGAACTAGGTTTTGTTCAGTCTGTCCTTACAATAGACCTATTGTGAGAAGAGTAGGTAGGACAAGTCTGGCTGTTTAGCTTTTGTCTGCCAACTCAGTGTGAGTGAACTAAATACTTCAACCATCCTAGTGTTGTGGAAGTGCTTATTTATTTAACATTGGATCTAAAGCTTTGCTTCTTGTTTATTGCTTTTTTTTTTAGGCTTAACATTGTTTGTAATTAAATAGCTGGTTTTTATGTTTTACAGTTTGTGGAAATTATATTGTTCCTTTTGTAAGAGGAATGATTTGGTGGTGATGGAGTGCTGCCACTGACAGATGGACTCACAGGAAAGAAGGTGAGAATGAGCAGCTAGGTGAAGCCACAGAGGCTTCCTGAAATATGCCAGCCCATGATTGTCCTGTAAAACTATTAAGGGGTGTCAGCATACTCTTTATGTAACTTACAATAAAGGGAAGAAGGGGAGTAACTTAGCTTTAGTTTCAGTTATGTCTGAAACACTCAACTTACTACAACAGCAACTTATTTTTTAAATTGATTGTTGAAACTTGTGGAGGGATAGCCATAGGCTGGAAAATTGAAAGTAACGTTCTCTGGTGAACAGTAAATCATATCTGTTACCTGCACCTGTGAATTTTTATTCTGGACCAATAGCCCTGCAGGAGACTATTCTTCTGCTCCGTGTTTCT